AGACTCTGGGCCTTTTCCCTTTCTGAAAAAAATAACTTTTAGATCTTAAGACTTCTACTGAAATACTTTTTGATTTAAAAATTAAAATTAATTTATACACATGGTATAAATAATGGGCCCCAAACTTCTCATGAAAAGCCAGCATCTCTCACCCAACCCCTTCTGATTTCCAGTCCTGTTCCACAGAGACCACCACATGAAACCACTTCCCTTTTATTTTGCTTACTACCTCAGTATCTTTAAAGAATGTTCACATCCTGCTATTTCTTGATTCATCAACGTTGGGCACTGTGAATCTGTGGGCTTTCGGCCACAAGCCATAAGGATTCAGCTGACATCATTGCCCACCTTCTCCTCCACATCTTCGAGGTTTAGATAACTACCGCTACTTCATCTATTGCTTACCTTTGTAATTTTAAATAATTAAATTGCCATCTCTTGACTCCACAGTCTGCAAAATGAAAATATTAACACCTCTACCTCAACTTCCACCTCATTTTCCCCTCCCCCTCCCATCTATTGACAGCTACCTTGTCGCTTTTCTGTTTTTGAAGTTGATACCATTTATATTCTGTTCTGTTCTTAAATGTGGTTGTCTCAACTGAAGTGGTTTCAAAAGCAGGATATCAGAGCAGGGTCAATTTGCAATTGTGGTTTTGATTTAGAGGAACATTTTGATGTAGTCACGTGGATGCAGCTTTATCAAATATAAGCATTCTCTATTTTTTAAATAGAAGTTAGAAATGTATACAATAGGCTTCCCTAAACCTCACGCCACCCCTGAACCAAAGAAGTTGGGAATATCTATGATGCCATCACTTGATTTTAAGACCGATGCTTAGAGATATGACAACTAGGCTGCCTCAAAATGTCATGAATCTTTTGTCCTCCCCTACATTAATTTTTGTCAAGGCCTATAGCCAGAGGAAAATATTGGAAAATTCAATTATCTCCCAAATTTGGGACAGGCTAGGCAGCCAAATCTAAATAAAAATAATAGCAAAAACTCCCAAGAGAATATGTCTAGCAATGTAAATAGCCCTATGGTGGAAATGTAGTAAAACTGCAAAGAAAAATGCTTTATAAAAATGAAATCTTGCGGCACCTGGGTGGCTCAGATGGTTGGGCGTCTGCCTTCGGCTCCAGTCATGGTCCCGGGGGTCCCGGGGTCCTGGCATCAAGCCCCACATAGGGCTCCCCGGTGGGCAGGGAGCCTGCTTTTCCCCCTCCCTCTGCCTCTCCCCCGGCTGGTGCGTGCTGTCTCTAGCTCTCTCGCTCTCTCGTGCTCACTCTCCCCCTTTCTCTCAAATAAATAAAATCTTTAAAAAAATGAAAGCTTGTCTGAAAAAGCCAGTGCTAAATCTCTTCAATAAAACATAAACTGTTAAAATGCTATCGTCTTTAGTTCATCTCTGGTCTTCTTAGAAAGCTATAGACAAGTCATTGTTACACAAACTAGGCTATCATCAATTTAAGTGACTTCCTAAAGCCCAATAAGGGTGCCAGAGAGTTGCCACCATAACCTAGTCCCATAAAGCTGGACAATTTTAAGACAAAAATCAGTCTTGGGTCCTGTACCACAGATTTTAATTCTCAAAAAAAAAAAAAATCACTGCACCATATTTTAATGAATACATAATTCTGTAACACACTTCCCTACGTAGGTCTCACGGTGAAGCTTCAGTGTATTTGACAATTTGTTAATTCAACTGGCTCCTACAGCGTTCATTATTGATTTAGATAAAAATTTAGTTTCTCTTCAGGAATGAAAGAGAGTGGACACTCCCTTGTCAAGATACCCATCTGCATACGAGTTGCCAGGATATTTTTGAGAAAGAACAGAAGAGGAAAAAGATATAAAACAAAGAGCACAGAGGTTGTTTAAAAAAAAAGAAAGAAAGAAACAATCTGTTTCAACTGGGCTTGAACATTTGAGGCAGTAAATTTGCATAAGACCTCTCCAACAGAACCTGCTGTTGCCTCTGCTTAATCTTAAAGACAAAAATTCCCGCCTAAATCCCAGGTGAAGATTAAATTAAGAGCACTGTGGCCAGCCAAATCAGCATCCTAGCTAGAACATTTGGGTTTGGGATCTTGTATCAAACAAGAATTGCTTAACAGGCAACTCCATGACAGCCTGGCAGGGACACTGAACATCGAACTCAACTGGGAGGAGATGATACGGGAAACTCCGCGAACTTCTACTCTGTTCAATTAGGCCGAATATTCCACACAAGAAAAGGGAAGCTTCTAGATCAGAAAGGCAGAAATGGATATAAAGAGGAAATTGCTTTGGGGAAATGAAGGTTCTAGAGTGAGCCTACACAAGGACACTGAGCTGCCATCAGAAGTCTGGGATGAAGAGATGAGGAAAGAAGAAACACTTGGCACATGACGATGTCATTCACTTTTGTTAGGCTGTGCAGGGGAACTTGACCATGGGTGGCCAGGAGCTTCCAAGGAGAACAGCTCCCCCTGGGTATCCATGATGGTTGGCCTCTGGGTCAGGTAAGGAGCCTAAAGGAGTAAGAGCAATTGATCTGGGAATTAAGGTAAAAGTAATCCACTTAGTGACCTCATTAAGCTCTCTTATTAAAGAAAAAAATAAAAACAAGCAGCAGGCTCTGGTATATTAACCTAACGTGTGTAAACCTTTTACAACCAAGTGGGTCCCCGAAGGGACCCAGAAATTCATCATCATCCTGTCCTGATGCCACCGCTCAGGCTTTTCTTCCCTTCTCAAAAGGCTGCTATGGATTCCCATACAGAGTAGATTCTTCTACTCTGAGACAAAATACTTAGGGTTAATTGAATAGAACTATTCTCGGATACGTAAAAGTCTTGCTTCTATGCTCTGTGTTCACAGAATGACCAAAAGCTCTTAGCAAATTAACCCAACATCATCTGAGTGAAAACAGAAGGTTACAATGGGAGGAAAATCTATAAGGATTCCTCCTATTCCATCTTATTAAAAAAAAAACAACAAACAAACAGAAAAGATGCTCACCTACACAGCTTCTTGCTACCTAGCCACTTGAAGTTCCCATTCTGATCCCTCAAACTTCCAGAAGGAATGGGTGGAAATAATTTTAGGAAACAATCTGTGAAATATCCACCATATAGGTGTGTCTTTCACCAATTTCCAAACTACCACCTGTGTCTCGGGAATGAATCCAGTCCCAGGAAGTCATGCACACAGCAGCCCTGAGTACCTCGTGCTTCAGGATTCATTTAATCCTTCATTCAGAAAATATATTTATTGAGCACCTACTACATGCCAAGCTCTGTTGTAGAAACTGAGACTATAGCAACATAAATGGCAGAGTCACTGTCTTCACGGATTTTACATTCTCATGGGACACAGAAGCTATAAGAAATAGTAAATACATAACTTCAAATAGTAAGGGCTATGAGGAAAAACAGAAGTGAAGGAAACTGGCAGGGACTGCGGGTGGGTGAAGCAGGTCAGCTGTTTTACAGACAATGAGCAGGTAAGACCTCTCTGAGCGGTAATCACGAAGCAAAAACCTGAATGATATGAAGGAGCAAGCCAAAAGGAATGTGAATTGTATTAGAAGCTGGATGGAGGGGTGCCTAACTGGCTCAGTCAGTAGAGCATGCAACTCTTCATCTTGGGGTTGTGAGTTCAAGCCCCACGTTGGGCGTGGAGCCTACTTAAAAAATAAAAATTAAAAATAAAGTCTAATGGAAAGTCACTGCAGAGCTTTGAGCAAGAGAGCGAAGTGACTGACAGTATTTTTTAAAGGTCACTCTGGCTACTCTAAGGAATTCAGAGCAGTAAGAGAGGATACAGGGGGACCAGTGAAAAGAACAATGACTCAGGGAAAATGTGACAGTGTGAAGGTGATACGTGGTCAGAGTCGGGATTTATTTTGAAAATCGTTAGGGGCGCCTGGGTGGCTCAGTCGTTAAGCATCTGCCTTCATCTCAGGTCATGATCCCAGAGTCCTGGGGTCGAGCCAAACGTCAGGCTCCCTGCTCGGCGGGAAGACTGCTTCTCCCTCTCCCACCCCGTTTGTGTTCCCTCTCTCGCTGTGTCTCTGTCAAATAAATACATAAAATCTTAAAAAAAAAAAAAAAAGAAGAAAGAAAGAAAATCAAGTGTAGGGCTGATGGATTAGACGCAGAAAAATGAGGAAACAAGGATGTGTTTAAGTGTCTGATCTCAACAATTAGATCGAAGGAAGTACCAGATACTGTACTGGAGAAGAGGAGAGGAGCAAAAAGTGTTTTGAGGAGAGAGAGGGTGGTCGGCAATTTCACCTAAGACAACTTAAGTTTGAGATGCCCATTAGACTTCTAAATAGACATGTCAAAAGGCAGATGGTATCCAAATCTGGAGCTTAAAGTAGAAGCTGGAACTGACTGCAGATACACATTTGGAGATCATCCATCATGTGTAACATGTCAACATTAGAATAAAGTTTTCTACTCTACCTACTTGACCAACAGAGCTTTGCATTCTATTTACATCCCTACTGAGGAAAGGTACCCAAAGGAAGGTTAAAGGCTTTCTGCAACGAGTGGAAAGCTTCCCAATGTTTGAAGATCCTCCAAAAGCTGTCTTTTAAGGGACCATCTAGGGCTTGCTCCAACTGACCCTGCTTCTTGAGAAGTGGGAAGCTGCCTATGCCCCTGATCTCATCATAATTTTAGAAATGTCTTTGGGAGAAGTGTCCTCTACTCACCTGTTTACCTGGCCCCACTTGCAGCTATGGCTCAGATGAGCGTGCACTGGTGCTGTGACTGAGCTAGGTCCATTTGACCTCCTCGCCACTTTCCACTTAGTATCCACACGGAGATAGATTTATTAAAAAGTAGGCAGAGATCTTGCACAGAAACCTAGGGCAGAAATGTCGCCAAGACTGAAAAAGGACCTGGACCCAGGAACAGGAAAATCATCAGGACTTTCCATCCCTCCTTTTGATTCTTTGTGTTTACTTTGTTCTTCACCCTCATGATCTCCTTACCTTTCACAGGCCGTACCTCCTAATACCATCTCCTTGGGGGTTAGAATGTCCACAGACAAACGCAGTCGGGAACACAAACATTCACATCAGAGCACCATGAATACATGCCCAGCCTACGGCACTGGTTCTGAGATGAGGAGAAAAGGCCCACATAGCAGAGCTGCTCAGTTGGGCCCAGATTAAATCAGCCAAATATAAGCATAAACCGACGCTGAAGGGCCTAGGACCATGGGATTTGTGATTGTTTTGCAGCATTATTGTTTCCAGAGTTAAATGACACATGTCATAATTATAGTCACTCACAAAGCCTATCTGTGTCTGAATCCCCACTTTGCTTTCTGAGGAGAGAGACTACAATAGATTTACGTTGGGTCAAGGGGTCCCCCCTCCCCATGGTTAGAGGAGGTAGTCAAAGCTATTAGGATAAACCTGGAGGCTGAGGGTCATGCCTGTGGATCAGGAGACAGTCCTCAGATGAAAGTGAGGGGTAGGGTGGTTATTGTGGGTTAAGCAGACACCCAAAAGGAGTCTACTTCTATTTTATGTACAAAGCGCTCCCTACAGCAAGAATTGCCTGAAGGTAAAAACTGTTTCCTGTGAGAACAATTGTCTCCCGCAAGAAAGTTCTGAATTTCAGAAGAAAGTTTGAAGAAAAAAAGAAAACAGCAATGTTCCTTAAAAGGGAAAGATAGAGAGCAAGTAGAGATATTTAAATGCTATTAATCACAGGATTTGGGTGGAATTTGATCAATGGCTCACAAGGAAATCAAGTGTGAAACGGAAGGGATAGCAACTCATTTCAACACCGTGAAATTCACTTCTGTGAATCCAAGCATCAACTGCTACCAGCCACTCCATGCCAATGGCCATGAGGCATGGATCTGAGCCTGGCAAAAGATGGAGGGTTGTCTCTTAAGGAAGGGGACCAGGGGAGAAAGATGAAGTTGAGACATAATCACAACCATTTCAAATTTAGTGAATACACAAGTGATGTTGGTCCTTTACTTGAATGATGAATTTTAGATCAGAATTATCACGCTATAAAAAAAATTGATTATTCAAATTAGCTTCATGGTAGCAAGAAAATAAATTAGTAAGGCGCTAAGTTGTTTTTTGCCTTAAACAACGGATTTTGTTTCCTTTCATCACTTTTTGAGGAGATATAATGAGAATTTTTAGATTCTGAACGTTCAGAGAAATGTTTATAATAATGCACGAAGTTCCATTTGCATCTAATTTTTAATAGCTGATTACATTTTTCCTTTATATGTCATTTCTAGTGAAGAAATGGCTGATTATTTTACCTACTTATATAAATACAAGCAAACATCCATATATACATACATTTTGAATACTATGATTATTAAACTATGTGCTGATATTTAAATTGTATAAATAACACTAGATAATAAATCACCAGCAAATTGGATGAATAGGTCTTTGAATAAATGATATAACTCTGAAAACAATGCAAGACATGTGCCAAAAAACAATGCTTTTTGAATGATTCTATTGGGAGCAATTAATTATTAACAGTCACTAATGATAATGAGGGCATTTGGGAGGTACATGGTATCCCACCAGATATTTGCCAGGCAGGCAATAAAAATTTGAAGAGAGAGTTGCAAGAAAACTGAGAAGAAATAAAAAGCTGTTCCAAATACTTTACAAGAAACCATACTGGGACCGGTCATCCAGTAGAAGCAGCTCTTCGGGGAGGTTAGGTTTTCATGAAAACCTGGAACCACCTTATCTTTAGCTTATGTTTTTTCCTTGGCAAAAATTCCAGAAGCCAAGCAATTCAAGTGGCTGCTACCTGATCTGAGGGTGGGTTAGTTCCTCACCCCTAGACCTGCTGGTTCTAATAGCCCAAACTGGACCAAGAATCTCTATTTTTAATAGGCTCCCTCAGTGATACTGTTGTGCAATCAGGTTTGGAAACCCCTGTTCTGGAGGGAAAATTAAAGCTATTGTTGACACATTTGGTCCTCTGTCTACAGCAGGCCTTCAGAATCCTCAGGAAACCATCAGGAATCGCCTTTTGGGTTTCACAAATCCCACTCTTTCCCCTTCCCCCTAAGGTTTAAGAGAAGGCTCTCCCTAGAATCTCTCTTCCATCAGACAGGCAGGAGAAGATGTTTCTATCTTTCTACTATAAGATTTTGTTTTAATCGTTGAAAAACTGTCAGTTGAAAATTGGATCCATCCAGTGACATGAATGATTTGGGATTAAACTGGCAGAGTGCCTAGACAAGTGAATCTCTATTTATTCGGGACTATGATACAACCACAGACATGGTTTCCCTTTCAGTGTGTGTTTTAAAACCATGTTGGTGCTGTTCTGAGTTTGAAAAAATACACACCACACACTGAATTCATGACTCCTTCGTTCTTTGTTTACTGATCTTTTAAATTACATAAGCCCTAACTGTACCCAGTTGCCTAAGTAGGATTATGCTACATGACAAACTGCTAATAAGTGAAAAACTAAAAAGACCCACCATCTGTCCACATGGTTTTCTGGTGAGCAATCAAGGCAGCACTCATGCTAAGCTGTGCTTAAAGCCCCCCTCCACCTACACGACTCCCGGCAGCCTCTGCGGCCCCCACGTGCCCTGCGAGCTGCAAGAGGGCTGGCTCTGGTGGAAAGAGCAAAGAGTCGAACTGAGGGGTGGACAGAGAAAGACAAGGAGAGCATTCTGCTCTTCCGTGAGGCTCTCCTCTGAAGCTCAGACTGCAATTTGGATCTTTCTCTTCATGTCAGCAAAGTCAATAAAGTCTGAAGAAGTATATTCAGGGGCTTAATGATCTTTAGATTTCCATCATGGTTCAAAGGATAAAATCTCTATCTCTGACCCTCATACATGGTTTCTGAAGGTAAGTAAGAACAATCCAGGACACTCTAAAAGGAAGACGAAAGGAAGAGAAGCCTACAGAATATCCACTCCTGGATGTTATGGTATGGTTCAAATAAAATGGGGAGGGGTAGACCTATCATTTACTTAATAGAAACACACACAGTCAGGAACATTTATGGCAATGTGGGGGGGGTGGGTAGGATACATAGTTAGTGAGAGGTTGGGTATATCACAGGAAGAAAACAAGGAAGACCACTGGGCCTTCCCACAGTTCTCCCACAGTTCTGTTTGTATGAGGAACAAGAAGCCACTTTCTACAAGTCTTCCTAAAGAAAAGGAGAATAAAGTTATACAAACTTGATCCAAGAACACAAGGTCCATGTGTGGAGGGAAAGGAGATACTGGGACACTTACTTGCCTGAGTTCCAGGAAAAGAGTCTGAAATAAAAGAAATGAAAAATAAAAGATCTATTTCACTAAATTTTCAGTTAGGAACAGAACATAAAAACAGTTCTCTGCAAAAAGTTAAAAAGGAACTCTGACAGCCTGTCTAACAGAATCTAGAAGAGCTCAGTATCTCTTCATATCCCACTTCAGAGAAATGTGGAGCTCATTAGAGCAGAGAGAGAGAGCCGCCCAGGGCTGAAGTGGGACCCACCTCTTTCCGGAAGAGAGGAGAGGTAGGAGAGAATGATATGCATCTGCGTCCCTCCCTGGGTGACAGGTAACATTGCCACAGTGGGGGAAGGAAGAGTGGGCAAGCTGACACAGAGGGCTACCTCCCAAGTACAGGCAAAGCATCTCAGAGTCTTCCTGAACTAGCTGCAAAGATCTGAGAACTATATGAGTTTCCACAATTACAGATGGGAGCAGAGCTAGAAAAATACCTTTTTTTTTCTCTTACATTACAACACCATTGTAACCTCCAGGATGGTGTAACCTCGGGAAATGAGTCATTCCATTTTAAAAGAATGCGATGGTATGATCAAAAATAATGCCTATCTTGAACTAGCATGTGGCATTATCAATGAGTAAAAGGAGACATATATCTATTTATGAAGGTGTGTTTGAAAACCATGTTGGTGCTGTTCGTATATACACACACGTCTTGTGGCTGAACTCATGTGTATGAAGTATATACACATACACTCTCATACATAACTTCTTTGGCCAGAAATCATAGACCTTGCTGATGGATTTGAAGACAATCCAAGCAGCAAATGGTTATGCCCTTTACTAAGAAGGAGAAACCAGGAAAGAAAAAAAAAAAAAGGAGGAACCAGGAGAGGAGTCAGATTGGGCCAGTGGGAGTGTAAACAGAAGTTCAGTTCAGGACATGTTCTATTTGAGATAAAAATGCTAGGTAGGCAGTGGATGGATACACTATGTGTTCAGAGAAGAGATTGGGTAGACATGTCAAACTGGATGTCCTCCTCATTAAAGTCCTGGCCTTAGATGAGCTCTCCTATGAGGAGAGATATAAAAGAAAAAGCATCTCAGAACAGAGCCCAGGGCACAGGGGTGGGGGTGGGGGGGACAGGGATGCCTGGTGACACGGTCAGATAAGTGTCTGCCTTCGGCTCAGGTCATGATCCCGGGGTCCTGGGATTGAGTCTCACATCGGGCTCCTTACTCAGCGGGGAGCCTGCTTCTCCCTCTGCCTGCAGCTCCCCCTGCTTGTGCTTGCTCTCTCTCTGACAAATAAATAAAATCTTAAAAAAAAAAAAAAAAGAACAGAGCCCAGGGGAAATCCAATTTTGTTGGCTGGATAAAGGAAGTGGAAGAATGAGAAACTGAGCTTTATGTTTAACTCAATAGAATTTCATAGAATTGCGTTTTCTCCAACTTTAGTCCTTGGGATACCCTGTGGAAAAGGGTTTTATGATCAGATCAATGTGGGATAATGCCACACACGTAGCTGCCCCGGGAAACTTCAGAATACCAGACTACTATTTGCAGATGAAAGATTTAGAGCTGTCCTACAATGAAAAGCTTGGTTTCACTGTATTTAACAGAGCGTTTCTTAAGTCAGGGGTTCTCAAATATAGTCCCCAGACGAGCAGCATGACCATCACCTGAGAACCCGTCAGAAATGCAAATTCTCAGTCCCACTCAGACCTAGACAATCAGAAGCTCTGAAAACGGGACCCTGCAATCTATGTCATGACACGCCTGCCAAGGGTACTCTGATGTGTGGTTTGAGGAACAATGTCCTCAACACTGACCCTTTTTCTATTTTTGGCAGATAATAGTGCTTTTCAAAGTGTTTTACTTGGAAAATATTGCAAACTCTAGTTTTTAGATTCTTAGTTTAACAAACCTTAA